GAGAACTCCAGAAGGCACGAGGGACTTGCCTTATATGTCCCGAAGCTGACTTACCTCATCGACCGTTTGCTTCACATCACAACCCGAGCGCTCCAGCGTACGCACCACTCGAAAAAGTCTACAGCGACATCCTCTACAATCGCGAGCCAGGACAAGTCAACTACAACTACACCATCACCTTCATCGACGCCGCCACTCGATACGTCTGGCATCGCAACCTACCCAGCCGCGACATGGCGCTCGCAGCATTCGCCGCCTGGCTACCGATAGCAGAGAGAGAGTCTGGAACACAACTGAAAAATTTCCAGTCAGACGGAGGTGGCGAGTACACCTCTCACCGCTTCAAGCAGTTCTTGGCGGAAAGGGGGATCAAGCAACTCCTCTCCCTTCCCTACGCACATCAGCAGCAAGGTGTTGCAGAACGACTGAACAGGACCCTGCAGAACAGCATGCGCAAACTATTACGTGGCATGCGGCTACCCAACCACCAGTGGCCAGCAGCAATGGACCACGCTGTCATGCTACACAACTTGTTGTCGTCGTCGTCACTCCCGAACAACGCATCACCGCATCTGCTGTGGACAGGGAAGCAGGGCAGCACGAAAATGTTACGAGTTTTCGGGTGCATGGTACAGTACAGACCCCCAGAAGCACGAGCGGGAAGATTTTCGCAACGGGCACAGTGGGGACTACACCTCGGCATCGAGAAAAATTACAACGCATGGAAAATCTTCGACGTCCACACAAAGGAAACAGTAGCAGCACGTGACGTGATCTTCTACGAAAGACTCACCCTTCAGACGTACCTCGCCAACTTGCACGAGAATCGGGACCTCACCAGTGGTTTTCGTGGTGACCGAGCCTTCGCGTCAGCAGCGGACGAAGCAGACTGGGATGAACAGAACGTCGACAACGCCTCAGAAGAGCCGGACCTCTCCCATACTGCTCCGTCGACGTGCCCATGGATGAGGATAATCCTCGCGACAGTAACAACGCCGAAATCTTCTACCGTTTCGCCGACGATGGTTACGTAACACCTGTGACAGTCAACACCAACGAAGCAGAAAGGGTAGGGCCAAATTTCATGCCCGACCCAGAAACGGGAGACGAAGCAGCTTATCCCGAGGATCCAGAACTCCCTCGATACTCACAGACTGGGCTGCAAATCCTCGGCCTCGTCACCGCAGTCCACGGGAACACACGCAGCTCGCTTCCTAAGGAGCCTGCAACGGTTCAGCAGGCTCTGGGGGGGGAACACAGGGAGAAATGGCGTGAAGCCATGGATAGAGAACTGAAGGCATTAGAGGAACGCAACACTTGGAAGGTTGTTCCCGTAAGCGTGGCACGGAACAAAACCATCCTTACCGGGAAATGGGTCTTCCGCATCAAGACGAAAGCAGACGGCACGATCGAAAAATTCAAAGCACGCTGGGTCGTACGTGGATTCGACCAAGAGCAAGGACGAGACTTCACCGAGACCTTTGCTCCAGTCAGCCGCCACACGTCACTCCGAATTCTCCTCGCCATTGCCGCCATGAAGAAGAAGAAGTTACGGCAGATCGACGTCGCGAATGCCTTCCTCTACGCACCTGTGGATGCAGAAATCTACGTCGAGCTCCCGCACGGTTCCCACGGCGAACCCAACCGAATCTGTCAACTACTTAAATCGCTCTACGGGATCAAGCAGGCACCGCGACTGTGGCAGCAGTACCTGCACGCCCGTCTCATCCGCATCGGCTTTAGTCAACTACCTCACGACCAAGGCATGTACCGCCTCACTAAGGGAAGCGACTACGTTCTCCTGATCGTCTACGTGGACGATCTCCTCTACATTGGGTCAACCGACGGCATCGCCACGTGGTTCGAAGGAGAGCTCCAGAAAGACCTCACGCTCACGGTCTCCTCCACCGTTACACAGTACCTCGGGCTCAACATCCGCGAAGAAGAAAACGCCATCTATCTAAGCGCCGAGAAATACGCCGACACCATCGCGAAACGCTTCAGCCTCACACCAAGCGCCATCTCCACGCCCTACCGCTACACATCAGGAACCGAGAAGGAACGAACTACTCTACTAAAGCCCGCCGGCATACGCGACTATCAGAAGAAGCTCGGATGCCTGCTATTCGCCGCCGTCACCTGCCGTCCTGACTTATCCTACTCCGCAAGTCAGCTCGCCACCTATCTCAAGAAGCCTGAAGCTGAACACCTGGCGGAACTTGATCGCGCTCTCCACTACTTCGTCAGCACCGCGACGATCGGGCTAACCTACCACAAGAGCGCAGCTACACCGACTAAGCTAATCGGCTACGTCGACGCCGATCACGCCGGCGACACCGACAACAGGCGCTCACGCACCGGCTATGTCTACCGCCTTGAGCCTATCGGTCCTATCTCCTGGCAGTCGAGCAAGCAGGAGTTAATCGCACTATCTTCAGCAGAAGCAGAATATATTGCACTCTGCTCAGCCACCAAGGAGGGACTTTACCTTCGCGAACTACTGGAAGAAGCGAAGCTAGCCGAGTTACCCAGCTTCACCGTGTTCTGCGACAACCAGTCAGCAATTCGCATCGCCAACAAAAACGGCTTCGCAAACAGGACGAAACACATCGCCCTGCGCTATTTCTTCGTGAAGGACGAGATAGAAAAAGGGAAACTCGATCTGTCATACTGTCCAACATCCGAGATGGCAGCCGATTACTTGACCAAGAAACTCGGCAAGCAGAAGTTCGAATACTGCATGATGCTGACTGGACAAGGCCACGTCACCAGCAGTAACACTCCAGAAGCGAAGGGGAGTGTTGGAAACAATAAGTCCTAAGTGCGCTTCTGTCGTATCAAAATCCAAGGTACCAAGCGAAGCAGTCCCAATCGAAGCATCGAGTCAACCTCGGAGGTTAGGGTAACCGCCTGGAGGTTACGAGAAAGTCAAAGGTCGCTGACCTTTGACTCGACAATTACAGCGCGACAGTTAAGGACACACAACTGACTCGTTACAGAGCAGTTGCCCGAGTCGCGCTATATCGAACCGCAACAGCAATACAGTTATCTATCTATTCCCTGTACTCTTATATAAATCCTTGTATTTGCTTGTTTAATTCAATCAACTTTGCTCTCACACACCAGTGCAAGGTCGGTTCAAATTCTTCACTAAACGCTTCCGCTATTACAACTACTTCACCTAGAGTTATCCCTTGCAAAGATCCTAAGGGGCTATCTCAGCCCAACAGTAACTTCGCGTTTCAACCAGACTGTACAGCGTACAAGTAGGATTTGACTCAGCGAAACGAAACTGACTGTCCACGTGTATTCTACAAAATGCGCATTTCTATTTATAGTAGCGGCGTTTACAATCTCGAACGATAAAACATTGCTATTGCTAAACGTGATCTTTTTAAGAAAATTAAAACTGAAACAGTAACTTTTAAACAAGCGCCACAAAAAAAAAACACAATTTCAAACCGCAAAGCTATCATAGTGATGAATATTGTGGCACACATTAGCTTACTCTACTAGAATTTTACTTATGGATCTTTACAATTGGATCTAGATCAAGTTAAAAACAATTTTAATATAAATTTGAACAACAAAATATTTATTTCTACATGTATTAAAACTTGCATAAAAAACCAACTAATTATTTATACATTAAAAAATACATTTAATGCATAAACAAAACTATACGAACATGTTACAAATAGTGCAATGCATGTTTAAATCTTACAGTAGAATGTTATGTGTGATTTCATTAATATACTTGAACCATGAAACTGATCCTATGACGTTTTGTTTTGTTTTTACAGAGTGATTGTAAGATGTTTGCTATTATTGTATCGCATACGTGCATGTAACGCTTTGTATTTGTAAGTGTTCGTACACTCAAGAGAATTGCGCATTCTATTGGTATATACGTGGACAAACAGTTTCGTTTCGCTGAGTCAAACCCTACTTGTACGGTGTACAGTCTGGTTGAAATGCGAAGTTACCAGCCAGGAATTCCGGATGCACTGTTCATTACCATGCAGGCAAAAATATTGACCATTTTGGCATTATGGTTACCACAGTGGCGAGGACACGATACCTTTGTTACGAAATGTACACGTGGCTTATCTCGGATGCGATCGAGCTCCATGATTGTTACCGCTAAGATAAATGCCCAATATTCTCGCTCTCTTGTTGCAGATCCCAGAAAACACACGTGTCCTGGTTTTTGAGTCAACGAACAGGTGGCACTGAGATTACCGGGCTGCGACAATACTGGCTGGCGAATCCACCCATTCACATTTCACGATTGCATTGCGACACTGAAACGTCGCAAGCGGAGTTTCATGTGCTTTCACTAGCCCATTAGTTTCACACTTGCGAAGAGTCGTGAACGAACGCCAATCGAGCCCGTTCGTGCCGTTTCGAATTTGTACCCGTTAACAGAAATTGACGGAGCAAGCACATTAGAATGATACCGAAGTTTCACCTTAGGTGGGATCGAGGTCGAGAGTGTATGTGTTCCACAGCAATCTCCCTTCACCGTTCCAACCTTCCCCATCACCTTCCCAATGGCTCTTCTACTCCAATTTACACCCCCCTCATTCCCCCCTTCCCCCTACCCTCCGCAGTGTCCACCATTACCAGGCAATCTTCTAGAATGCTTCAATATAACTGACTAGGGACGAGTTTCCGGCATGAACGGTGCAAGCTCGACCTGAAATCTCTTCTCGAATTCCTTGTCAGGGCATTTAAGCATCTGGATCGAGCACACTGCCTCCCTTCCCTGCTGCCGATTCACACCTCGCCGTCCAACAGCCCGTTTTCTCCCTGACTCATCAAGGCTGTCTTGTATAGGTTGCAATGGATCTCCATACACATGCCTCATCCTCACCCCAAACTCATCTTTCTCACCCTCAACCTCCCCATCGTCTGCTTCCTTCTCTTCTCCTCTCCTCGCACTACCAACTCCTTCCAAGTAACCTCTTCCTTCTCCACTATGTTTTGGAAGAGCCACCTCATGCGGCACCAACATATAGCCCTTGCTCAGCAGTGCCACATGTCGCGGTCTGATTCGCCGATCCAAACTGTACCCAAGGAAGAGCGGGAACACAAGCACCTCCATAACAGAGAGCCCCATGTCCCGCTTCAAGTATTCAATCTTGTATTTTGTGTTCCCCTCCCAACTGTAGCAGATAGATGTCGGGTCTTTAACCACCAGATTCACCACCACCTCACGAGCTGTGGTGCCAGCAATGCTCTTAGAACCTGGTCCTTCTTCTGCCCCTGCTTCAGCCCAGGCCTTGGACCCTGCTTGACAGCCAGCATCGCTTCCCCCTTGCGCCGCACATTCTCTTGCTTCCATATGAGGCGCTTCAGGAGTCCGGCTTTCTCTTGCAAACCCACCATCTTCACGACCCTCCAATGCCTCCTCCACTTCTCGCACAAGCTTCCGTGCACCTTCCTCGAGCATATGCCTCCCATTCTCCTCTCCTCCACTCTCCTCCATTGCCGCTTCCACTTCTCGCACAAGTTCCCCGAAACCCTTCTCAATGTTCTCCCCATTGGATGCCAGCAGCAAAGGAAACCGAGCCACTGCAAGCACGGCGTTCCCTCGACCGATCAGATCGTCCAACAATGCCATCTTGCCTTGCATGTTTTCTATGGATAGAAGAAGAACCGACGCATAGCTGCGCACCACACTCGCTGTTGCGTTCTTCCCCACGAGCTCCACTAAGTACTGGAGCTTAGCTAAAACATTCTGAGAGCTGAGGCAAAGGAGATGGGGGGCTTGGCGGAGAATCGGGATGGCAACGGAAGGGCTGTCAGGGGGAGTGAAGGACTGGAGGAGGCTGAAAATGGCAGGGAAGTGCCTGTGAGCCTTGAGGAGGATAGCTGGAAATTTCACCAGGAGTTTCCTCAGGTGATTTTTGTCCTTGCCCTGCCTATTCAGGTGTTGCCTCGGGTGCTCGCTGCTGACGTTTCCTCCTTCGCAGCCATTGGTAAAATACGCTGATAGTAGCTCGAGGCGACTTCTTATGACTTCCTCACTCACGAATAGAATATCGGGGCATCTCTCTATAATCACACCCAGCTTGTCCACAGGAACCCCTGCTTTCTCCACCAATATGTCCAGGTTCGTTGAACGAGCTCGTGCGCGAATGAGATATGGAGACCTTCGAAGCACCGCACCTAGCTTGGCTCGAGGTATGCCCCGAGCCAAGAGAAAGTCAAGCATTTTCTGAATCTGCGGAAGGGAGCATCGGAGCCAGGAAGGGCTTCTCATGGTGATGGCTGAGATGTCAGAATGGGATACCCCATACGACTGGAGGAGGTGGACTCGTAGCAGAAGGTCGTTGGTGGGATCAGAACAAAGGAGCTCAGGGCAAACGCCGAGGAGGGAAGCGACGGTGGAAGGGGAGGAGATGCCGAGGTGGGAGGAGAAGAAGCGGTAGAGGGAGAGGAGGGAGGAGGGGGAAACGACCCGAGGGCTGTTGCGTGGAGGAGAAGGGCGTGTGGGAGGAGATGTTGTGGGTGGTTCGTTCTCCTCACTCGCTTCTGCATCTGCGTCTTCCCCCTCCTTACATTCCTGATCCTCGTCGCCCTCAGCTTCTGCGCCCTCTGTTTCCTCATCCCCATCCCCCTCCTCTTCCTCTTCGTGTCGTCCCTTAGCCTCCTCCTCATCTGTAATAATTTCATCTGTAAACCCCTCCTCCCACTCCTCTCTCACAATCTGAGGCCCAAATTTCTCCTTCAACACTCTAGCAATCACAGCCACTGCCTTTTTCTCCTTCTCCGTTCCCTCGCATCCTCTCCTCCTTCGATGGTTCCTCCCGCCTCCCTCAACCTTCCCCTCCAATTCTCTTGCTCTCCTATCACGCCTCGTACGCTCTCCTCTGCCATCCACCTTCTCCCTTCCCGCTCTACTCTCGCTCTTCTCTGACTCTCCTACCTCACTTTCTCCCTCCTCTCTTCCATCTGTACACAATCGAGCCTCCGTAACAGCCGCGAGTACTGGCTTGCCGTCGAAGTTCGAATCGAGTCGCACGTTCGCGCTCTCCGCCTCGGGAATCTCTGCTGCTCTGGCGAACGAACCAGCGGGACAGCCTATAGTGAACCTCCGGTCAGTGATTCGAATCCTGGTGAATGCGTTTAGCGCAGGTTGGTGTCGGTTAGGTCCGAACCGGTAGATGCTCGGCGTGGAAGGATTAGTAGCTGTGGGTGCCATTCCCAGCTTCTCTGAAAATGACTTAATACGAGGCGTAGAAGACTGTGTCATGTATCTTAATGAGAATCCTAATCTGTTAATCCACGCGATGAATGGCCGTGATGTTCTGGCACGACACGCCATGGAATAGCTGACAGATGCAATGAAAGGGATGACGGATTGCACAAACGAGTTACACGCCTATAGTGCTTGTCCTACGACGAACCAGCAGAAGTGAGTCCGGATTTCCTGACCGTTGCAGTGACTTCAAGAAATTTAACAAGTTAAAAACGATTCAACTCTATGGTCGCTGGCATGGAGTCATGTCGCTCTCTAGTCGCAAATCCTGGAATGCAGACCGAAGATGACAACAGAGGGAATGCCCTGGTTGTTGAATCAACGGAAAAAAGGCACCAAAAGACTGGCGACCGTAGTGAGGCAAGTAGTCCCGCGCGGGCCCTGGGACTACCGAACTAGGGTAACTCTGGATGGCGAGTTTCTATTTCAGGAGAGGATTTCGATACTGCGATGTCGCATGCGGATTTCTTGAGCTTTCGCTAGCCCAATTCGACATTGACGACAGCGTTGGGTGAGCCGTGTGAGTTCGCCCGTCAAGTCCACATGCCATTTCGAATTCGTACCCGTTTACTGATGCCTGCTACGGATGTGGATGTGTTACGGGTGCAATGAATCGAGGTAGCGAGAATTGCACTAAGGTGTCAAACGAGTACAAAATGTGAGCGAAGGCATGAGCGAGCATTTATACGCGAAACATGCAAAACGGTAACGCGGTGCGTGCGAACTTGCTAGTGCTACGCTGGAGCGAGGCTCGGGCTAGTCCCGAAGCGTAGGCCGATACGGCCATGCCAGCAGTGCGAGGTTTGGCAAAACAGTGCGCGCGAAGTCGGCGAAGTTCCGTTAGCAGTAACGGGCGAACAGTCGGCTGTTGCCGTACGCGATGTAGTCGGCTCCGTAAGGAATGCCTGAGAAAATTCCTTACACTACCCCCCCCCCTTAAGAAGCCCCCTCCGCTACGCGAGTGCGTGTATATCCCGGAATCCCCGGCTTCTCAAGTACACTTGCAGGGCAGGGTGATTTTCGATGTTGCTCAGGGGCACCCAGCTATCTTCAGTTGGCGTGCGGTCTTTCCAGCGAACGAGGAATTCAATCCTCCTGATTCCCGTGGGGTGGCGGATCCGATGGCTCAAAAATTTCTCGGGCTCGATGATCGGCTCTGATGCAGGGCGAGTCATTGATTGTGGCCGGTGACGCGGCAGTTGACTCGTGGTCGGGATGTATGGGCGAAGTAGGCTGACGTGGAACGAAGGGCTGATGTACCAGTCAATTGGCAACAGTAGGTGCGCGGTGACGGGTGTGATCATGTGACTGATTTGGAATGGTCCACAGTAGCGCGGTCGTAATTTTGGTACGTCGGGCAGTCGCAGATTTTGCGTGTCGAGTAGCACGTAATCTCCAGATTGATACGTGACGGGGCGGCGGTGGCGATCAGCGTTGCGCTTAGCGATGACGTTGGCCTTTTTTATTGCTTCGGCGGCTCTGGCGCGGGCAGCTTGCAGGATTTCGGCGAATTGTTGTGCGCGTGGCGTGGGGTTGTCCGGACTCGGCGTCATGGGCACTGTGGGGTTCTGCCCATAGTTCAGGTAGAACGGGGACTGCTGCGTCGTGGTTGATGTGGCGTTGTTGTACGCGAACTCGATCAGCGGCAGCTGCTGCTCCCAGGTCGTGGGGTCGTCGCACGTGGCACGAATCAACTGCTCCATCGTCTGATTCGTCCGCTCCGTTTGGCCGTCGGTCTCGGGGTGGTACGACGAACTGAACTGTAGCCTGGTCCCGAACTGCTCCCAGAGGTTCTTCCAGAAGTTGCTGGTAAACTTCGTGTCCCTGTCGCTGATAATTGCTGCTGGTATCCCGTGCAGGCGAACAACGGCTGCGATGAACAGGCGAGCGGTCTCTTCGGCTGAGATCGACTTTTTGCACGCAGCGAAGTGTGCCATCTTCGTCAACCTATCCACGACGACCATCACCGCGTCGTTACCCCCAGGGTTCGAAGGTAACCCTGTGACGAAGTCCATGGTTACTTGCTGCCAGGCGCGTTCGGGCGGTGGGATCGGCTGTAATTGACCCGCCTTCCGCTTCCTTGAACTCTTCATCACCTGACACGTCGGGCACGAGCCTACGTGCTGCTGTACGTCGGTCAACAGCTCCGGCCAGTAATAGTACCGCTGCAGTTGCTGTCGTGTTTTTTCTACCCCGAAATGTCCCGAGGTAATCCCGTCGTGTGCCTCCTGCAGCAGCAGCTCCCTCAGTAGTGAGTACGCGGGTACCCAAATGCGGTTGGTGCCTGTTTTTACGTAATAAACTCCTTTTGCTTCTGCCAGTTGCTGTGAATTTCCGGTCGTGAAAAATGGGTCGGTGCGGTATCCGTGGGTGAATAGGCCAGTTAAAAGCGGGTTGGTCTGGGCGAGTAGGATGGCGTGGAGTTGGGCGGTGGGGCGGGTGAGAGCGTCGGCGATGTTGGATGCTCCTTTTTTGTACGTGACGGTGTAGTGAAAATTGGACTCGAGATAGTCCAACCAGCGAATCTGTCGTGGGTTGAGATTCGGTTGGGCGCGAAGGTACTGTAGCGAGCGGTGGTCTGTCCGTACTGTCACGTCGGCACCAGTCAGGTAACATCGCCAAACTTTGAACGCGTGCACGATCGCTAGCATCTCGCGGTCGTGTATCGGGTAGTTACGTTCGGGCGGGTGTAACTTGCGGGACTCGTACGCGATTGGCTGGAGGCCATTCCCGAAATCCTGCAACAGTACTGCTCCCACAGCGATGTCACTTGCGTCGGTGACGAGCTCGAACGGACGGTGGGGATCTGCAATGTGAAGGACGGGCGGGGAGCACAAAATATTTTTGAGGGCCGAGAAGGCAGCTTGCTCTTTCTCCCCCCACGTGTACTCAACCCCCTTCCTCAGCAGGTCAGTCAACGGGGCAGTCAGTTTCGCCATGTCGGGGACGAACCGGCGCACGTAGTTGACGAACCCCAGGAAACTCTGCAACTCGGTCAAGTTGGTCGGCGCGTGCCAAGCCTGAATCGTCGCAATTTTCTTCGGGTCTATTTCCACTCCTGCAGCTGAAATAACATGTCCCAAAAACTCCAGGCGGTCCTGTAAAAACTCACACTTAGATGCTTTGGTCAGTAGGCGGTTCTCACTCAGGATTTTTAAAACTGCTTCGATGTCTTGTAAGTGCTGTGCTCTGTCAGGGCTGTAAATCAGTATGTCGTCCAGATAAACGATGACGCACTTATCTAAAAGCGGGCGGAATGCTTCGTTCATGGTCATTTGGAAAGTGGCGGGGGTGTTGGTCAGTCCGAATGGCATGACGGTGTATTCGAAGGATCCGTAGCGTGTTCGGAATGCGGTTTTAGGGCAGTCGGGTGGGTTGACGCGGATTTGGTGGTATCCTCCCCGGAGGTCGATTTTCGAGAAAACCCGGGCTGTGCGCAGTTGGTCGATCAGTTCGTCGGCTCGTGGGATGGGGTAACGGGATTTGATGGTAACCCTGTTCAGTGCCCTGTAGTCGATGCACATGCGAAAACCCCCGTCCTTTTTCGGTGTGAACAGTATTGGTGCGGCGAAAGGCGACGAACTAGGGCGAATGAATTCCTTTTCTAGCAGGTAATCGAGCTGCTTCCTTAGTTCGTCTAATTCGGGTTGGGTCAGTCGGAACTGTCGCTGTACTGTTGGCTGTGCCCCCGGTTCCAGTTCTATCCTGTGATCGTGCGGTCGCTGAGGTGGCAGTCCCGTCGGCAGGTCATCCGGGAAAATGTCACTGTACTGTTGTAACAGTGCCGCCAGGTCACTCGGTACGTCGGTCAGCAGTTTCTGTAAATCGCCTCCCTTGTCTGCTGCCTCGGCTTCCCGAATGTCAACCGCGTACACGTCGGCTCCGGCCGCAACAGCGCGTTTCATCGTGATCGCGTTGACACGCACCGACGAAGACTCAGGCGAGCCCCAGCGAGGTAAGGCGATGCTGTTACCGTTCACTCGCACGGTGCAGTCACCCGTCGTCCAGTCAATTCGCGGGTTGTGTCGTCGCAGCCAATCACGCCCGAGTAAAATGTCGGTTCCGTCGAGGGTCGTTGCGAGCATTTCCTGACTAAACGTGAAGTTACCCCCGCATCGAATCCGAACTCGGTCTACGCGTTCCCGTATTGCCAGCGGCGTGCCGTCTACCAGTCGTGCGTCGATCTCAGGTAAGCATCGGTCCAGTGGCAGTCGCAATTTTCGTGCTGTAGCAGTGTTAATGAGGCTGTGGCTGGCTCCCCCATCTACGAAGATTTTAACTAAGTCCGTCCCAATTTTCCCACTGAGCAGTATAGGGCTATCTACCGTGGTACCCTCCTTATTCGGCCGGGTGTGGTCGATTGCGTGAACCGGCACAATCACTCGGTGAGGGTCGGTTGGGTCGGGCGAGCGGCGTGACCTGTCAGTAGAGGGCCCGTCTGCTACTGACTTCCAGCGTTTCCCTGCTGCTTGGTCTGTGTCTGCGGCTCAGCTTCCCCCTTTCCCTTAGCGTTTTCCGGGCATTCGCTCTTGCGATGTCCCGGCCGATTAAACGCAAAGCAGCGCCCTTTGAACGGTGCGGCAGCGGCATTTGCGGCGACGGCGCGTATCGTGGCGCTCTCGTTCGTCCCACAAGGCCGATGTCCCCAGGTGTTGTTTCCGTAGGACCCCGGTCTCGGTCGGCGAAAGAAGTCGAGCTTCTCCGCCATAGCGAGAATCTCCTGAAACTCAGTGACGCCGCGAAGCTGGATTTCCTGAGCGATGTCCTGCTTCAGGCCGCCGATGTAGCGGTCGATGCGTTCGCTCTCATGCATGTAGCCCACCTGCTCGCATAGCGCCAGAAATCCGCTCGTGTAATCCTGGACGGAACCGAGTTGGCGCCAAGTGCGGAGCTTCTGTCGCGCCGAGATCGAGGCCGCGATTGGCTCAAATCGAGCGCGCAGACCTGCGCACCACGCGTCCCACGTGCGATACTGGGGCACCTCCACGAAATAC